CACCCCGGGACTACGGCCTCATTGTCCACACAGCCGCCCTCCCTCCCATACCACCTGTCTCTCACCCCCCCACCCCACCCCTCCACCATCCACCCCCCCACCCCCCCCCCTCCCCACCCACCCATCACCCACCCACCTACCTACCCATCCACCCACCATCCACCCTCCTACCCACCCACTCTCCATCCTCCCACCCAGCCATCCAGGAGTCTTTCCTTCCTCCCACTCAGCCACTCACCCATCAACCCATCTTCCCATCTTCAGGCCCACCACCAATCCCCTGCTTCCTGACCACCACCCACCCCTCAATCACACGTGTACTTCCCGAGATCCCAGTGTGTTGGTGGACTAAAACCTAGGTGGGGGCCATCCTGCCTCAGAGTGGCCAGGACCAGGGAGAGGAGGATCCGAGTTGGGGGCCCAGGAAGGGGTGTGAGGGCTCTGTCCATAAGAGGGGAYAGGGAGGGCAGCMGAAGGGCCGGACTGCAGTTCTGGCTGGGGGCGAGATGTGCCCTTGGGAGAAGGGATGGCAAACAGAAGGCCTGCTGGGCCGAGCCTGCCAAAGGCCTGTGCTTGGAAAACAGGACTGCGCATGAGTCTCAGGATGCTAGTGGGCAGTGGGGGCCACGCCGAGTGTCCAGCAGGCCAGGCCTCTGTCTTGCACCAACCCTGTGTTTCTACTCTCACAGGTCTGGAGGTGACACCAGGCCCTGGGTCCTACAGCCCAGAGAAAGTGCCCCCTCTGCGCCAGCGGAACCCCCCAGCTTTCACACTGGGCTCCCGCCGCTACCAGAGACCCCTGGACACCCCAGTTCCCGCCCCTAATGCCTACACCATGCCACCCCTCTGGGGCTCACAGATCTTCACCAAGCCCAGGAGCCCAAGTTACACCGTGGTGGGCCGCACCCGCCCTTCCCGCCCCCCACAGGACCCTGCTGATACACCAGGCCCTGGCCAGTATGACAGCCCAAACCCCAACACCTACCGTCGGCGATGGCCAGCATTCACCATGCTGGGGCGGCCCCGTGCCCTGCGCTTGCTGGAGGAGGCACCTGGCCCTGGCACCCACAGCCCAGAGCAGGTCACTGTGAACCAAGCCAGGGCCCCAGTGGACACCAGAGGCCTCCGCCACTCTAAGCGGGCTGTCACCATGGCTGCAGACTTCACACCCTAACAGGGCATACCCCCCATGTCCACCCCCGTTTCCTGAGTAGCTGAGTGGGTGGGGGCAGATGTGGCTCTCAGAGAAGCCAGGGCAGCAGGCAGGGGTCTCTCCCTAACCCTATTCCATGCTGTCTGAGGTCCTTCTAGGCTACATGACCCACTGTCCCGGGGGGCCATGGCTCCAAACAGCGTCAGGGCCAGTCTCCTCCTAGTGACCCAGTTTCTTCTGTCACGGTCATGCCAGGCTAGCTGGAGATGGAGCCTGTGCCCTAGTACTTGGTGTCTGGCCCCACTAGGATCTGGATCCCTGACACAGCTCTGGTGTCTGCCAAGTCTGGGCTCTTCCCTGCTTCTCACGATCGTGTGGCCACTGAATGTGGGTGGGGGCGACCCTGAGGTACCTGCCCTCCCCACTGTACCCTTTAGAACTCCTTATCAATAATGTCAGCCTCATGCACACCAGGTCACGTAGCATCTGTTCCTGCCGCAGAACACTCCTCTCCAGGGCCAGTCCCCCAGCTCTCCAGCCCCCTGCAGGTGGGGGCAGAGGGGACTCAGGCTGGGGAGGCAGGCAGGGTTCCTGGGAGAGGGAATGTGGAATCTGGTTTAAAGATGTGTGTCTTCCCACACCTGCTATCAGTCGCTGTGCACTGCTGATGGTTTTGATGAAATGTCACCTAGGCTTTAGAGTTGGGGACCTGTTCAGGCATCAATGGTACTCTATGGATCCAATGTCAGGATGATGCAGGGTTTGAACCCTAACCACTGGGCTCCACTCATGCCACTCTTTACTAGGGACAGTTAACAGTGGTGGTGTCATCTGACCCCCACATCCTGGGCTAACAGGCCAGGCCCAGTACCTACAAACCTGATCAGAGAGACCCTAATTCAGGTCTGGCACCTGGCAGTGAATCCTCTCCACCCCCTGCCCAGGGTAAGCACCACCCAATCCCACAGGTGTGTCCCCGGCCGGGCAATGTGTTCCCACCGCTTTCTCCCACCAAGGCGCGGCTCCTGGCAGCGCAGACACACGGGGCCGGCCGTGGTAGTCACTCAAAAGTCCCGGGCCAATCGTGGCCGCACCGCCCGCCCGTTCCGAGGGGCAGCAGCTGTGACCCCATCGCTTGCGTTTATGGGTCAGTTCTGGGTTGTGCCCCTCCTGGTCCACCTGCTGCATCCGCCCCCCCCCCCCCCCCCCCCGCCGGCTTTGTTTTCCAGACCTTTCCGGGGCGGGGGCTGGCAGTCAAACAGGATCAAGGCCAGGGGGCAGCGGAACTCCTGGGGCCCGGCTCCCAGGGTCAATGAGGCTGGGACTGGGGGCCTGGGAGGCCAAGGCCGGAGTTGCATGCGCTGAGGCGGGACAGCGCTCTTCAGAAATAAGAGGAGTGACCCTTCAGTCCACGCTCTGGGTTTACAGGCCTGGGAAACTGCGTCCAGGGAGAGACAGCCGGAGGGCTCCATCTCAGAACCCTGGAGCCCCAGCACAGCCCGGCAGAGCCTCCGCGGTGCGCCCTGGGGCACGCCCCTTCCCTCCCCAGACCTGTTTCTTCATTCGAAAACAGATCGGTGGAGAGAGTGAGGGCTGACCTTGGGATAGGGGTTCTTTTGTCTTTGATGCAGCCGCTGCCTCTCTCGAGGCCTCAGTTTCCCCATCAGTCCAAAGGTGATTTCTAAGCCTCTCCCAGCTGGACCTCCTAGAGCGGCGGGCCTGGGGGTGTTGTGGGGGTGGTTGCTGGGCTCAGGGTTCGATACCTCGCCCTTCTCTGGCCTCCGTGGGCTTCCATCCCTCAGGCCCCAGCCAGGCGCCAGGACGCGCAGGGCTGGGGTCCCAGGGGCGCAGCCCCCTGCGGCTGCGCGCTGGGCCGGTCGGTGACATCACCAGGCCAGGGAGGGGAGGAGCGCGMGGGAGCTGAGGGCCTCGAGAGCGCCAGGCACAGCCCGGGTCGGCTCGGTCCGGCGGCCGCAGCCATGACGCAGGGTCCGGGCTGGCGCGCGCCCTCGGCGACCCCCGCGCCCCCCGAGCCCGAGGCACCCACCACCTTTTGCGCGCTGCTGCCGCGCATGCCTCAGTGGAAGTTTGTGGCGCCCGGCAGCTTCCTGGGCCGCGGCCCCGCAGCAGCGCGGGCGGCGGACCCTCAGACCGAGCGCGAGGGCCCAGCGGGCGTCCCCGCGTTGGCTGCTGCTGTGCTTGGCGCCTGCGAGCCGAGCTGCGCCGCGCCTTGTCCTCTGCCGGCGCTCAACCGCTGCCGAGCTGCGGGGGTGCGCGGGCCTCGGGGCGCGCGGGGTGCGTCCGGGCCCCCAGAAGCCGCCGCGGACGAGTGGGTCCGCAAGGGAAGCTTCATCCACAAACCCGCGCATGGCTGGCTGCACCCCGACGCCAAGGTCCTGGGGCCCGGGGTCTCCTACATCGTTCGGGTGAGTGCGCACTCAAGGACTCCCTGGTTCGGTCCTCCCCAGTCGCGAGTTCTGGGACTCTCCCCCATTTTCTCTCTGGGGTCTCTGGCCCCCAAAGCCAGGAGTGGCCTCTCCACCCTTTCTCCCCATCACCCCGGACCCCCATCTCCAGTCGGCGCTCTGCGGTTGTCTCCATCCGGGAGGCGCTGGGGTCCGGGTTCCCTCCGCGTCACGTGGGGAGGCGGCGGGTGGGCAGGGRCCACGCATGCGCAGATTAAGCACCCCGCGGAGACCGGGATCCGGGCTTCCAGCCAGCCGGCTGCCGGTGGAAAGCTCCATCAGTTGGAGCCTGCGGAGGCCTGGCCAGAGGTGCCAGGGTGGGAAGGGCTTTTTGGTAAGCGCTGATGTCTAGACCCCAGGAGTCCTGCTGTGAGACCTCTGGACCTCAGATGTGGCTGAAGAGACCCCCCATGGTTAATCTGGGTTTATATTAGAGACCTGCTCAACATAGAGGAAGCTGGAGAAGGGGTGCGCGCAGTGCCACCTGGGACGCTGGCACCTGACCCTGTGTGTGCGTAGCTTTGATAAACCACCTGAAAGCAACCTGCAGGTGTGTGATGGTCCTCCATCTCTTGCCTGGTCTCCTGGGATAGCCTCCCGCACTTCCGTTCGCAGACCCATCACCCATTCCAAAACGTGGCTGGACGCCGGGCAGTTTCTCCGGCACCAGGATCATGGAACCTTGTGTGTTCGGTAGTTATGTCTTKGCTTTCTCTAGAACAGTCCCCCAGCCTCACAGTGTCCCCCCAAGTTTCATGTCCATCAGGGACCTGTGAGTGGGTCTCATCTGGAGGCAGGAAGAGGTTAGAGAAAGTGAGACAGAGGCTCTGGTGATCCTGGAAGTGGAGGGCCTCTGAGGCTTGACCTAGAGCCATTTTGACACGTTGGACAGAGTTCACAGGAAGAACTTCTGGCTTCCCCAGGTGCTGGGCTACCACCACCACTTCACCAGAGAGCTGGTGTGTGCCTGGCTCTGAAAAACCCCCCAGCAGGAGCGCCCCACAGGAGGCCCACGCGAACGGAGGGAAGGACGCAGACCTGGACACGAGTCCAGGACTCTCCTCCTCCCTGCAGTGTGGTTCTCCTGTGCTGGTGCTGTGCAGGAGAACGGAGGGGTTTGCAGGGCTGAGACATTCTGGGCAGCAGAGACAGCTTATTTCTTGAAGGCCAGGGGTAGGGTGGCTACTGGGAGTTCTCCGAAGACCAGGTTCTTTTGGCACAGCCATCTTGAATGTGCTGGCGCAGTGGCCCTCACTACCAGGAAGTGCAGCTACAGCACCAGGCATCGAGTGTGGGCCCAGCCTCTCTACCAGAGAAGATCATGCCTTCTTGGGAATTTTCTTCTTCTTCTTAAGAGGCTCCACCTCCCATCCCTCATGTTGGGAAAACAGAGTTACCAAATTGGCCCAAATCTATGGTGAGCTCCATCTACCCACCGTCCATTCTCCAGCAGCATAAGCCGTGTCCCTCCCTCTACAGTCCTAGAACACCAGGCACTAGCATGAACACCCTGAGACACATGTCCTGCTGAGGGAGGTACCTACTAAGCACTGGCATCCATCCAGAGCTGTCCACTCCATCCTGGGGACAGAGATCTGCTTCCCTTCACGTTGCTACATGTCCGATAGTAGCTTGGCCTATAGTCCACACCCATCATTCATCTGTCAGTCCACCCACTGTCCATTCATCCAACTCTCCATCCGCTCATCTTCCTGCCCACCAACGTATGTCACCAATCAATGCCCATCTGTCCATCCATCCACACATCCGTTACGCATTCTCCCATCCATCTATCCATTCATACCTACATACGTCCCTCATCCCTCCATCTGTTTGCTTGTCTAACTATATATTCATCTACCCATCAAAAATCTATCTGTCATCATTCATCCATCCATCCATCCAACCATCCATTCATCATGCATCATGCAGCTTAAATCTGTCAGTAGACCATCCATCCTCCATCACCCATCCATTCTCCATCTACCCATTCATCTATCACCCATCTACCCATTCATCCGTCCATCCTCCATCTACCTATCCACATRTCCTCCATCTACCTATCCACATGTCCTCCATCTATCCATCCATCCATCCTCCATCTACCCATCCATCCATTCTCTATCTATCCATCCTCCATCTACCCATCCATTCATCCTTCATCTATCCATCTATCCATCCTCCATCCATCCATCCATCTTTCCTATCTACCCATTCATCCTCTATCTACCCATCCATAACCCATGTACGCATTCATCACCCATCCATCTGTCCTCCATCTACACATCCATCCTCCATCTACCCATCCATCCATCCTCCATCTACCCATCCATCCATCCTTTATCTACCCATCCATCCATCCTCCATCCATCGTCCATCTACCCATCCATTCTCCATCTATTCATCTATCTGTCCTTTGTCTACCCATCTGTCCTCCATTTCCCTATCCATCCATCCTTCATCTATCCAATTGTCCTCCATCTACCCATCCATCCATCCTTTATCTATCCATCTATCCATCTTCCATCCGTCCATCCATCTTTCACATCCACCCATTCATCCTCCATCTACCCATCCATCACCCATGTACACATTCATCACCCATCCATCTGTCCTCCATCTACACATCCATCCTCATCTACCCATCCATCATCCTCCATATACCCATCCATCCATCCTCCATTTACCCATCCATCCATCCTCCATTTACCCATCCATCCATCCTCCACCTATAACATCCATCCATCCTCCACCTATAACATCCATCCATCCTCCATCTACCCATCCATCCATCCATCCTCCATCTACCCATCCATCCATCCTCCACCTATCCATCCATCCATCCTCCATCTACCCATCCATTCACCCTCCATCTATCTAACCATCCATCCTCCATTTATCTGTCCATCCATCCATCTTTCATCTACCCATCCATCCATCCTCCATCTGTCCATTTGTCTGTCCTCCATCTACCTATCCATCTTCCATCTACTCATCTCTCCATCCTCCATCTACTCATTCATCTATCTTCCATCTATTCATTCATACTTTCTCCATCTACCCATCATCCATCCATCACCCATCTAACCATCCATCTTTTCATTTGTCCACCCATTCATCATCTCTTATTCACCCATCTGCCTTTGTCCATCCAACAGGTGAGGCAGCTTGGTTCACACCCCAGAAGCCCTCAACTTTCCTAGAATAATGCCCCCAGCCCTGTGGCCTCTCCTCCTTGCCATCACCCCATTTCTCCTTGGTAGCTCTCTACGCTGACGCAGCCAAGTTAGAGCAAGTCCACAGCCTCTCTTCTCTGGTCCCCACTCCTGGGCTCCCCTGATTGCCTTGGCCTACAGACTCACTGTCCTCTGGGTCCTCCTGTCCCTGAGCTCTTGCTGGCTGACCCAGCTGCACACAGCTGATGGGACTGAACTGTGAACACTGGCTATTTCCCACCGTCCTGCAGGCTGGCCAGGGCTGAGTGGCCTTCCTGGTCCTGATTGTGTGGCTACATGTGTCTGGTGTGGAGTCTGGCCTGGTGGCCAGGGTGGTTGCAGGGCCCCTGAGAACATCAGGGGCCTACTCCAGGACCTCAGGCTCCTGGGGCTGTGTGTGTCACGGTCAAGAAGGAAAACAGACTGCACACTTGGCCTGAGGGCATGAGGAAGGAGTGGTGGCTGGTGGCCATTTCACCACCATCTGCATCAGCCTCTGGGACCCTGCCAGACCACATAACCCACAGGCACCGTCTGCAGGCACCATCTTGTGTGCATGCACCCGAGTTCCTGCTTGCCTGCTTCTACCCCACAGCACCTCTCCTTGCCTGAGACGCAGGAGATCATCTCATAAACTACCCAACGGCTACTTGTTTCTTTTTACAGTTGCATACTCTTCTCTTCCAAGTCCATGACTTGTTGAGCTTTGGCCAAAACGCAGGCCAGCCAGTAAGTGTGCATCTAGCAGACAGGCTCAGGCACAAGTGTGTCCCAGGTGCCACGTGGAAGCCTCCCGCTCCTCAGCCTGGGTCAGGATTGTCCCAGCACGGAGGGCAGGGAAGGCTCACAGGGCACCTGGGGAGAGTGGAGGCAGGACCTCCACAAGGGAGGCCATCTTGAAAGTGAAGCTGCAGGCTCAAAGTTTGTGTGTGTTTGTTTTATTTATTTATTTATTGTGGTACTGGGGATTGAACCCAGGGCCTTGTGCATGCGAGGCAAAAACTCTACCAACTGAGCTGTGTCTCCAGCCCCATGGGTTTTATTTTCATGATTTTTTAAAGACTGAGATGACGTCACAGAACAGGCAGGGTGTAGGGCCCACCTGTTGGCTCTGCTCTTGGAAGGCTGAAGCAGGAGTCGTGGGAGCCCAGGGGCTTTGGGCCCAGCCTGGGCGACATAGTGAGACCCCATTTCAAAAGAAAATCATACAAAAATAAAAAGAAATTAACCCAAATAAAAAAACCTGCAAAGTAGAATTGACTGAACCATATGCAGTGCCCAGGGAGGCTGCCTGTCCCGCCAAGGCCGGTCCCCCTGGTGCGCCTCTGGACAGCCTGCTCTGACTCTTCCTGGCCTGCACAGYCAGGTCTCTGCTGAAGTCTCTACTTCAGGGAGAGTCAGCTTCCCCAGGAAGTGGCTGTCCTCAGAGGCTGAGAGGGTGTGACGGTCCTTATGGGTCTTTGCTGGCCCCAGTCTCGTCCTATTCCCAGGCCCTGTGCGGGGTGCAGCAAGTAGGACCACACTGCCCCTGTCCTTGTCTCACCTTCTAGAGGGGAGGTCTGAGCCGGGGCAGACAGGTAGGGGGTGGACACACAGCACAGCGGAGTCGGGGGGAGTTGAGCTCCCCTCCAGGTGGGAAGGGCCAGGGGAATGGAGAGGCCCTGGGGCAGGGGCTGGGGCTGATAGGAACCAAGGGCACCAGGAGTGTGGCGCTGGCCGGAGAAGGGACCTGGCCACCCCTGCTCAGGCTCCTCTCTCTCCCCAGTACATGGGCTGCATCGAGGTGCTCCGCTCCATGCGCTCCCTGGACTTCAGCACACGCACCCAGGTGACCAGGTGAGCCTTGGTGGTGGGGACGGGCGTGCAGGACCAGGTGGTAGGGCCGGTTGTGGCTCCTTGGTGGCTCTGGCTCGGCAGACCCCGTTTTCCTTGGTTGGGAGGCACAGCCAGCCTGCCCTGTGGGAGGGGCTGGGGAGGGCCCTCGCAGTGGACTCCAGGCCCTGGCTGCTCCCTGAGGCCTGCCCGGGAGGGGCCCGGGCCATCCTGGGCCCAGCCTAGAGAAGGCAGGTCCCTCTCACAGGGCTCGGAGCTGTCCAGAAGGGCCATTCAGGTTGGGCACAACAGGGCCTGCGTGTGGCACCAGCTTCTTCCCGTGGAAATGGACTTATCCCCTAACTGCAAACTTAAATGTGCTCTTGGTACAGTCCACGCACCGCACCGCCACCTGTCCAGGGCGCACAGTCTGTGCTTCTTGGTGTCTCCATCCACACTGTGTGTGACGGGCCTCTGTCTAGGTCCAGAACCTTCCGTCACCCCAGAAGGAAGCCCAGCCCCCATCCCCTCCCAGCCCTGCACCCACAGGACTCCCCGGTCCTGGACCCTCTGGTCACTGGGTCACACACTGTGTCCTTGTGTGTCTAGCTCTCACTGAGCACCAGGTCCTCAGGTCCTGCAGCGGTGTCACCTGGCTCCTGCTGGTGACCAAGGGATGCTCCAGGGGGAGGGACTGTGCCGTGTGTCCCTCTGTCCTCCTGTGGACGCCTGGGCTGCCCGCCTCTTTGCCTGCTCTGGAGTTCTCACGAGCTTGGAGGGCGCCTCTGTCTCCCTGGGGAGGCCTAGAGTGGGGACGTGGGTGTCTGGTGACAGTGACTGCTTCCTCAGCAGTGTCCCCGCCCTGTGTCCCCGCCCTGTGTCCCCCCCTGTGTCCCCCCCTGTGGGGGCCAGGTCTCTGCCTGATGCCGAGGTCCTCCAGAACCGTGTCCCCTGTGACCCTCAGGACCCTGCGCAGGTCCCAGCCTCTCGGGGACCAGTGACTCCTCCACTGTGGGGTCTCTTCATGCCCCAAGGGGCCTCAGGCAGGGGACCCTGCCTGCTTGTCTGTCCCCTGAGTCTGACCCCTCCCAGGGCTACCCTTGTCACTGGAGAAGGGAGTGTGATGGGCTGGAGCTGAGGGGGCCGGCTGGTGGCTGGGGGTGGTGCCCCCTCCCCGTCCTGGGACCCCCCACCCTCTCAGCCCTGGGGCTCCCTCCTGGCTCCTTCCCCTCTGACGCTCTGAGCGCCCTTCCTCTCAGCTCTCCTCCTCCTCCCTACAGGGAAGCCATCAACCGACTCCACGAGGCTGTGCCCGGAATCCGGGGCTCCTGGAAGAAGAAGGTGGGTGAGGTGGAGAGGGAGGCTGGGCCGGGGGGAGGCCGTGGCCCTGGGCTGGGCCCTGCCACATAAGCCCATGCTGGCTCTGCCCACCCAGGCCCCCAATAAGGCGCTGGCCTCCATCCTGGGCAAGAGCAACCTGCGCTTTGCTGGCATGAGCATTTCTGTCAACATCTCCATCGAAGGCCTCAACCTCTCGGTGCCGGCCACCCGCCAGGTGGGTGCCCCCCCATCCCAGCCCTCAGGCCCTGGGCCCCTCCTGGGGTCTCCAGGGCCCTCAGAGGGCCCAGGAGCACTGACGCACACTCAGGTGGGGCGGGAGGCGTGGGGCTGGTGCATCACCTGACGTCGCCATGGACGTGTCCCTGGGCCACTGGAGTCGGGAGCCCAGGGCACCGCAGCCTGCTCCCTGGGCCCAGGGTGGAGCATCCGCAGTGGTCAGAGCTGGGAGGAGGCAGGCCGTGCCGGGGAGAGCCTGGCTTCTGGCCTCAGGTGGAAGCAGACACAGATGAGGGTCAATCAGGAACCCTGAGAGCACTGGCCCCACAGGAGCAGGGAGGCCCTGGGAGGCAGTGAGGGGCTCGGGGCCAGAGCCACCCAGGTGCCAAGTCTGCAAGGCTGCCGGCCAGCCAGGCCAGGGATGGGCCCCAGGGGGAAAGGGGCCACACTGGTGACCAACCTGAGGGCCAGCCAGCCCCTGCCCAGGGACTGGCCATGGGGGCTGGGGGTGTTCAGGAGACCACTGTGGGAGGCCCTCACGGGCCTGGAACAGGTCTGGGTCTCAGGTGCAGTGGACACTTGCTGCTGACTCTTTCTGGTCTGAGAGTCAAAGGAGTCTCGGCTGGACGTAAGGCTGGGTGGCCTTTAGGAAGACCTCGGGGGAGCCTCAGGCAGGGAGATTCAGCATGGAGGCTGGCTCAGGCCTCCGTGGCAGGCAGAGCAGGGTGCTCTGCCCCCAGGGAGAGAGGCTCTGCAGCCAGAGCAGGTCTGGCTCTGTGAGGCTGGGAGAGTGCTGCAGGGCTCCGTGGCGGAGGGATTCGGGGCCTGGGGGGACCTGTGGCGGAGGGATTCGGGGCCTGGGGGGGGGGTGGGGGCGGGGGGATTTGGGGGCTGGGGGGGGCTGTGGCAGAGGGATTCGGGGCCTGGGGGGGGCTGTGGCGGAGGGATTCGGGGCCTGGGGCCTGTGGCAGCGGCTCAGCTGGTGCCAGGACCTTGGCGGCCAGCCGGGGTGTGGGGGCCGGGAGGGGTCTAGAGCCCTGTGCACCTGGAGGCTGGGCTCCCTGTGCCCACGGCCGGGAGCAGCTCTGCTGACAGTGAGGCCGGGGGACCCGGGAGGGAGTCTTGGAGCACTCCTGCCGGCCAGGGGCTGAGCAGGCCCTGAGTGAAGAGAGAGGGATGGCGTCCAGGGGCAGGGCCCAGGGGACTGCTCTGGAGAGGGTGGTGAGGCCCATGAGGAGGGGGGCCAGAGGGCCAGAGCCTGGGGTGGACTGGGCTGTGAGGCCTCTGCCACTGCTGGAGGCCCTCAGGGGATGTGAGGTCCAGCTCTAGGCGGGCTGCCCAAGGCCTCATGGTCTGCCCTTGGGAGGCGCTGACCGTGGTCCTGCAGAGGTTCTCAGGCTCCCAGAGAGAGCAGCATGGCGGGGGTGCCCTGGAAGGCAGGGGACTCCATGAGGCTGGGGAATGGACTTTTGGTGGGAGGACACGGCCTGCCTGACCCTCACTGGGTTCTGAAGGGGCTTGAGTGACAGGTGGCGGATGAGACAGGTCCATGCAAATGAATGCAAATAAGCCAGCGAGGTGGACAGTGCGTGGGAGGGGCTGCTGGGGTGCGTCACCGTGGCTGTGTGTCCCCGTGTCTCTGTGGCTGTGTGTTGGAGGTGCAGTGGGAGGTGTCCACCAGTGCAGGCAGCCTGGTGACCACACCTGACCACACCCTCCCTCAGCCCGGGCCCCATCCTCCAGGGCCAAAGGTCCTGGTGGGACTTGGTGGTCTTGGTGACCGGGTCCAGCCGTGGTGGGTGCCAGGTAGGGGAACCTGYGCCCCTGCCCCTGCCTTCTCGCCCCCCACAGCTCTGCCCCGCCCAGGGCCGGGTGGCGGGTCCTGCCTGGCAGCAGCTGGTGACCTTCCTCCCCCAGGTCGTGGCCACCCACCACATGCAGTCCATCTCCTTCGCCTCAGGCGGCGACACGGTAAGGCCCAGCAGGAAGGGCGAGCGCCCTCCGGACCCGGTTGCTTTTCCTCAGACCTGCCTGGGGGGCCTGGGCCCAGTGGTGTGGCCAGGCAGGTCCAGCTGACCCTCCGCCTCTCCCCAGGACATGCTGGACTACGTGGCCTATGTCGCCAAGGACCCCATCAACCAGAGAGGTGAGGCCCAGTGGGAGGCTGCCCCGGGGGGCCTGGWGGGGAGCCAGGTCACCAGGTCCCTGCTGTCCCCAGCCTGCCACATCCTGGAGTGCTGTGAGGGTCTGGCGCAGAGCGTGATCGGCACCGTGGGCCAGGCCTTTGAGCTGCGCTTCAAGCAGTACCTGCATGGCCCCCCGATGGCAGCAGTGCCCCCTGAGAGGTGAGGCCACCCCCACCCACGGGGCCCCGCTCTGCCCTCCTGCCCTCGGCCCTGGGCAGGTCCCCGCGGGTGGACGTGTCTTCTCCCTCCCAGGGCGGGGGCCAAGTTTAAGTAGCAGGTCCCCAGAGCATCTGTCCAGCCGAGGCTGAGGCTGCTGTGGCCCTGCTCGGGGCTGGACACCCTGCCGGCCACAGCAGGCAGGAGGAGTCGCTGGAGGTGCCCACAGCTCTCCCTGCCACACCTTCACCAGCGGCACAGTGCCCCCCGGGTGGCTCACGGCCTGGAGGTGTGAGAGCCCGCTCTGGGACAGCGGGCTGGCCGGCGGCCAGGGAGCCAGGGGACACACACCTTCGTGTGGGGAGCCCGGTCACGTACAGGCAAGTGAGTGGCAGGGGCAGAGCCCCCAGGACACTGCTGCAGTGGACGAGTCCCCCCAGGCGATCGGGGCCCAAGGGCGTCTGCGGCCTGAGGGACCCCACCCCATCCTGTGTCCAGGTACCACCAGACATGTCACCCTGTGCTGCCTGGTGGCCCGGGTGGCTGAGGAGCGGCTGGCTCTGAGAAGGTGCCGCTTCCGCATCCCAGGGGGACGGTGGAGCGCTTCACAGCAGGTCCCGGTGGGCCAGGTCCCACTGTCCTTTCGACCCTCCAGCTCAGTGCTTGCTCTGCCCCCAGGCTGACTGGGCTGGAGGAGTCGGCCTTGGGGGACGAGGAGGAGGCCGAGGGACACGATTACTACAACAGCATCCCGGGCAAGGAGCCACCCCCGGGTGGTCTGGTGGACTCCAGGCTCCCGGCCACCCATCCCTGCGCCCTGGGGGCCCTCAGCCAGGTCAGCCTGGGTTCTGGGGTGGGGGACAGACCCCTGGACTGACCCCTGCCTCTCCTGTGGCCCCAGTCCTGGGGCCTCTGTGCTCACTCCCCCTCTTGTCCTTCATGGTCCACCAAGGCCTGGGCCTGGGGCCTGCTGCGGACCTCCTCTGGCCTTGGCAGTGGGGTAGGCGGGAGCCCCTCTTGGTGGACAGGCAGTGACAGAACTGACCCCGTCACCACCAAGAGCAGGACCTCAGAGCCAGTCACTCAGAGGGCCTGGCCTGTCCGGAGGAAGCAGCGGGGCTGGGCTGGGGGACGAGGAGCTGCCCAGGAGCGCAGAGCAGAGGGTCCGGGCAGTTCAGCAGGGGCGCGGCAGTGGGAGGGTGGCGGCCTTCCGCAGGGCAGACAAGGCAGCCCAGGCAGCCGCGGAGGCGGCGACACCCAGGAGCCCGAGGCCAGGGAGCCCCCGAGCTGAGGCCCAGCGTCCGGGCTGTGGGGAGAGGGGGGCTGTGGGGAGAGGGGGGCTGTGGGGAGAGGGGGGCTGTGGGGAGAGGGGGGCTGAGGGGAGAGGGGGGCTGAGGGGAGAGGGGGGCTGTGGGGAGAGGGGGGCTGTGGGGAGAGGGGGGCTGTGGGGAGAGGGGG